CAAAAAGAAGAGATTATAACTTATAAAAAAATGACTATACAGACAGAACATCTATGTAAAAGCACTCTGTGAAGGCTGACCTAAAAAGAACGTACACCAACTCACATTTTTTTATCTTGACATTTGTAACTATAAAACATTCAAATGGGAAAATGCAAAAACTTTGTGACTTGAAAACGCTCCTCGTGACCCTGAACAACCGGCTTCCCTACATTGAGAAAGGCCAGCACAGAACAGCTGTACGGTCACCACATCCACACCGTGAGGACAACATGCCGGCTGTTTGTGTGACCGCTGCAGCTTCATTGTCGTTTAGCAGCAAGTCGTGACCTGCCTCGCTGCTAAAGTCCGCCTAGAAAACAGCCTCAGCCGGACCTTTTCATTTAAATGATAACTCTTATCAGCTGGCACGTCACTCAGCACACACAGCGTGTGTGTCTTTGTGTGTCTGTGTGTGTGAGAGGGAGAGGGAGACAGCAGTGAGACCGGAAAGAAAGGAGTTCCAAAAAAATCTAATTACATGCAATTAAAGAGACACATGGGAAGGTTTTATAAGCTGAATACAGACAGCTTGTTATGTGCCTCTGCAGGAATGATGGCTGACCACATTTTTTTTTCAAGGCCACTTCTCAAATTGTGCAACATAATTGTTAGATGCATCAGCAAAAAGCAGCTGAAGAGTGTGAAAATGCAGATTACTACACGTTTGTTCTGGGGTTTACTGCTTACTTGCATTGTGCACAGTACAGATGCATTTGCTTAACTTTGAGCGAGTTTGTTTATATCTATAGTGGTACTTTTTTAAAGTATGCAGGAGCTACAAAGTACTTTCTAACAGATGCCTGACGCTGTCACATGTTGGCTTACTCTTGCAGCATCGGCATACGCCACAGCTCCAGGAGCAGCATACCACTGACCACTCTGTGATCTCCGAGCTTCAGGGAATTTACTCAACTTGACTTTAAGATTCTGTTACTTTTATGCTGCGTTATGCTTCTGATGTCAGAGGAAAGTCTCTCTAAATTCACAGGGGAAGTAAACACAGTTATCTCCCCCTCAGCCATCTACAACATGACATGTTGCAGAACCAGAAGTGAAACATGTAATTCACCTAATAAATGTGTTTGAGGGACTCGTTGAAGATATCTGTACTTATTATGAATGGAAGACGTCTGCTTATAAAGAGTGCATCTTTGTATGGGAGTACGTTTTAACATTTGTGCCATTTTAAAAGAAAGTTTTCCACAAAGCAACACAGTGCATGTGTCTTACACAGGAGTGGAGTCTGACTGCGTGATAACCATGAAGGACAAAAAAAAATACACACTGCAAGTTCGGAAATATTCTAAGATTATTGATTAAGTAACAAAACCCATCTTCTTCTTCTGTTGTTACAATAGATAATCTGCATCCTCATCTATTACAATGATCCTCCTTCATCACATCCATGAAACTCCTCTGTGGCCCTCCTGCTTTGTCCAGTATATCCAGTGTCCCTCTCCTGCACATGTCCAAACCATCTCGGTCGTGTCTCTCTAACTTTGTCTCTGTCTTATACACATTGTTTACATTCTTGAATTTTCCTAAAGATGTTTTTTTCCCTAGACTTTACCCAGAACAGGTGCACGTATCCAGTGCAGTCCTATTAGACATCTTTAACCTGCCAACTTCCTCACATCCACACAAGGATGAGGAACAGGATGAGGTGAGGAAGCTGGCAGGTTAAAGAATCTGTGTACCAGACTCTGCTTGGGTGCGACGGCAGCAGCTGACGTCTTGTGTGTCCTGCCGTGTGCTGTGTTCAAGACACTCTACTGTAGGTAATCCTGACCCGACTGTCCCAAAATGACCCCCAAACTTATGGATGAAGACGGCTGTACGTGACTATGACCCTCACACTGCTCTCTCTATCTCTATGTCATGTTTAGTCAGTGGTGGATGACGTGACGTGGTCAGTCCCTTTGCTTTCACTGCAGCAGTACGCCTTCAGATTCGTGGGCTTGTATTATTGGGTTACAAGTACGGATGCAGTTCTGAGTAAACATCAGTCTGCTGTTGCAGCTGGTGAAAGGGGAACTCGGCCAAGGTCATGTTTTCAGTGCTATTTGTCTGCATGCCTGTGGAGCAACAGGTTCTTCGGAGGATCTGTAAAGAAGTCCTTATGAAATGCGGGTCCTGTATACGTTGCACATTACTGGTCACATCTTTCTATAGTCGCTGTAGGTCGAGCAACGCTATATTAAAGATAATGCATGCAGCCCAACTTTCCTGGTTCATTACCTCCTTACTTGTTGTCCGTACTTGCACTGGTCTCTATTTCTTGTTCTAATTGCACTTTGTGTGCACCGTGGACCCTAAGCTTCATAGTTTTGTCTCTCTGTGTACTTGTATGTGGCTGAGA